CGGTGCTTCCTATAAATTTCATGTCTTTGATTATGTAGCATAAGTGACCTAAGATTAAATCTTAAATAATGCATTTTTAAGGTTCATATTCAATGTCATGCACAATAAGACGAAACTTGATGACAAAAAAGCATAGGATTATCGTGCCTTATGAAAATGATTCCTCCTAATACTTTGACCAAGCAAGTGCATGCATCCAAGCAATTTTTGCAGTAGTTAATTTCTAATCTCATCAAATCACAAGAGAAATTAATTAAAGCAGAGGCCTAATCCCCTTGACTATGACAATAATATACTCGATCGTAATAATAATTAACTAAAGAGAGCTAATTCTAAGCTTCTTATGTAAGATTACTATCCTTAATTACAGAGATTAACTAGTTTTAGTCAAAGATGCTTATTTTTAATTATCAACAATGGTTACTAATCATGCCATTGGCAACCCCACAAAATTAAAATCAAATCAGAGGGAGATGGACAAGTTTGTCAATAACTAGAAACAAAAGGAGTAGGGGTCAAAAAGATAGATAAGGTGGAGTGGAACCAAAGTGGAAGATTATGCTTGTGAAATCAACAGGAAGACTCAGAAGACCCACCCCTTTTCCTATCATATCTTTCCCTTTCTTCCTTTCTTCTTTGAACCTACCTAATCACAAAGGCGGGCTAGGGCCAACTCACACCTTAATTAAATCTTCCATTTTCTTTTTTAATCTTAACTTGATTTTCATAATTTATCTTTCTATCATCTTCCTCCTTTCTCTCTGTTGAGGTAATCTTTGTCTTTTTCCTCTTTGCTTTTATATAGTTATTGTTGTTTTCCATAAACAATTTGAGTTTATTTTATTCATTTTCCACCATTTTTTACTTTAATCTGAACTGGGTATTAGTTATATATGCTGATTGTTTGAGAAAGTTGGTTTCTTGAATTGGGTTTGTTTTTTTTTTGCCTTGGATGTTCTTTTATGGGTTAGGGTTTTGGAATTTGTCCTGTTTCTTTTGATTATTGATTGATTTAGGATTATTTTGATTTTGATTTTAATTTTTCAAGCAAGACAATATTCATGGGTTCTCAATATGGGGAAATTTCTGATAGTTTTGTTAGTGAAATTGGGAACCAACCTGTTAATGGAATGATGTCCCCTGATTATGATGAATCTCTAAACTATGCCAATTTGTTCAATTACAAAGACCCTTCTCAAGACCTCTCTTCCTTGAACCTCCTAAACCCTTTAGCTAACCCAGATGCACTCAACTTCAGCTCGTTTTCGGTGGCGAGCCAAGGGGGGGTTGAATTATCGGATGATAGTGATTCGGATGATGTTCTTAAGTACATTAGCCAAATGCTTATGGAAGAGGACATGGAGCAGAAACCCTGTATGTTCCATGATCCTTTAGCCCTTCAAGCTACTGAAAAACCTTTTTATGATGCATTGGGTCAGAAATACCCCTCTTCCCCTAATCAACACCCTCTCATTGATCATGGTGTTGATAGCCCGGATGACCGGCCTTGGAGCTCATCTACTGATACTAGTGGCAGCACTTGTACTTCTAGTTCAAATTCAACCAATTTTGTGGAAACAACTATGGTTACTGATTTGAGTGATCATAGTAAGCCTTTGGTAACTCAATCTCATCCGATTAGATCATATTCCCAGCCATCAACTCTTCCTCAGTGGTCATTTAGCTCATCAAGCTCCTTTGGTGGAAGCATCTCTAATGGTTCAACATTGTCCGCTTTTGGTTTGCCAGTAGATATGAATTTCTTTAGTGAGAAAGAATCCATAATTCAGTTTCAGAAGGGGATGGAGGAGGCTAGTAAGTTTCTTCCGAAAAACAATAATATTGTCATTGATCTTGACAACATTAACTTTCCTAATGAGTCAAAGCATGATGCTTCAGCTGTAGTTGTTAAGAAGGAGAAGGATGAAAATTCGCCTGATGGGTCAAGAACAAGTAAGGTTCACTATCGTGAGGATGAGGATCCAGATGAAGGCAGGAGAAGTAGCAAGCAGACAGCTGTTTCCATAGATGAGGCGGAGTTGTCTGAAATGTTTGATAAGGTTTTGCTATGCCATAACCCTGGGCAAAGTTGTGGCATCAATAAAGACTCTGAGAAGAGCTTACCATCACCGGCTAGCCAACCACAGGGACCAGAGGTAGGGAAGGTTCGTCCTAGGAAACAGGGTAATATAAAGAGTACAGTGGATCTAAGGACTTTGTTAACACTCTGTGCGCAATCTACTGCATCAGATGACCGTAGAACGGCTGATGAATTGCTGAAGCAGATTAGGCAGCACTCTTCTGCTGGAGGGGATGGTTCGCAAAGGTTGGCCCATTATTTTGCTAATGCTCTCGAGGCCCGCTTGGCTGGAACCGGGTCACAGATCTACACCGCCCAGAGTTCCACAAAGACATCTGCTGCTGACATGTTGAAAGCATATCAGTTCTTCATTCGCACATGTCCGTTGAAGAAGATATCTATTGGGTTTGCTAACCATACAATTATTAAAGCAGCTGAAAAAGCTTCAAAGCTTCACATCATAGATTTTGGCATCCTTTATGGTTTCCAATGGCCTGCTCTTATTCAAGGCTTGTCAAATCGAGATGGTGGCCCTCCCAAACTGTGTATTACTGGGATTGATCTTCCCCAGCCTGGATTTCGTCCAGCTGAAAGAGTTGAGGCAACAGGACGTCGCTTGGCTAAGTATTGTGAACGGTTTAATGTGCCGTTTGAGTATCATGCAATTGCACAAAAATGGGAAACAATTAGAGTTGAGGACTTGAAGATAGAAAGTGATGGGGTTGTCGCAATTAACTGCCTATACCGGTTCAAGTACCTCCTTGATGAGACAATAGTGGTTGATAGTCCAAGGAGTGCAGTTCTGAAGTTGGTGAGGAATATAAAGCCTAATGTGTTTGTGCAAGGTGTTGTGAACGGGTCCTACAATGCTCCCTTTTTTGTCACGCGTTTCAGAGAGGCTCTGTTTCATTTCTCCACCCTATTTGATATGTTTGATACCAATGCCTCCCGGGAGGATCCAGAGAGATTGATGTTTGAGAAGGAATTTTATGGGCGAGAGATCATGAATGTTGTGGCTTGTGAGGGCACAGAGAGAGTTGAAAGGCCAGAGACATACAAGCAGTGGCAGGCCAGGAATATCAGGGCGGGGTTCAGGCAGATGGCGTTAGATCAGGAGCTCATCAACATGCTAAGGTGCAAGGTTAAGGGACATTACCACCGAGACTTTGTCATTGATGTTGATGGGCAGTGGACATTGCACGGATGGAAGGGGCGGATAACCCGTGCCATCACTGCATGGGTTCCAGCTTAGGTTAGGTCTTTCAGAGCTTAATCCATGGATGAAAAACTGCAGATGATACTTGGGTGTGGCTGCAAGATGTCAGTGTTAAGAAGGCTTAGTTTAGTAGGAATGAGTTAGGTGAAGCTAATTCGCAGAAACTTGTAATTTTGCTGCTATCAGAAAATCTCGACGTGATGATAACCAAACAGTGTGAACTTGCTGCAGCCCAGTCAATCAAATGGACACTGCTTCGGATATTATTTCTATTTGGTGAGCTTTCGTATTGTCAACTTTGGGATGTAGATATCATACAAATATAGCATCAACTTTGGATATTATTTCTATTTGGTGAGCTTTCGTATGTTAGATTTGTGTTGTAATTGCTAGACCTTAGCTTTTAGAATGGGTGAATTAGAGCAGTAATTGATTATGTTGTAATTTTTTGCTAGTAGCAAATACATATAATTCGATCAATCAAGTATTGTATACTAATTTCGCACAAATTTGATTTACTTCTTTGTTACTGGTTTCAGATTCTAATGTCGAAACTGGCTCAGGCTAAAAATAAAGATTTAGGGAAATTTATAAAAATTTAATATTTGGCCGTTGTACTCAGAGCGAAGTGAGATTTACCATAAAAATCACGGAGTATGGGGCATTCCGAGAATTGAACTCGGGACCTCTCGCACCCTAAGCGAGAATCATACCACTAGACCAAATGCCCATTTTTTACTTCTTCACGTCTCACGTAAATACAAAGCAATCCTAGATTTGCATTTTGTGTTTTTTTTTTTTTTTAATTTTTATTATTGTTTAGCATTTTGTGCTCATACAGCTCTTCTTGTTTTTTTTGTAAATTTTTTTTATCTCTGATGTACTTCGTATATTATTACTAGACCAGCATATCAAATATTTAGGGAAATGAATCAATGATACTATCAAATTGTATGACTTGGAGGGATTTGTATATATTCTAGTTGAACGAAGAAAGGAATATATTACTCCGTACGATTTACATATAAAGCACAATAAAATAAATAGATACTTCTTCCAAAAAAAAAAAAAAAAGATGTGGTTTTAAAAGATAAAATTAAAAAAGATACGTGTCTTCAAAAAGATATTTTTTTGACAGTCTTCAGAAAGTTACAAATTTGTTGAAAGCTAAACGGGCCCTCGAATCTCTAACTAACGTCCGCAAAATAAACTAAAATTACAAATTTACCCATTTTATCAAAAAAATTACCCCCTCAATTTACCCCCTCTTCATACTACTATACCCACCACCACCACCTCCTCCTCCTCTTTTAACCACCAACTCTTTACCTCCGGTTTTACGATCTACACAGTCGCGGTAATGACAAGTAAGGACAAAGGAAAGTCGGCCGCCGATGGAGAAAATGTTTTTTTTTTTTTTTAATTTGCGGCAAACGCCTAGATTTTTCGTACGTCCTAGGCTCAAACGTCTAGTTCTTGTGAACAACCGTGTGGTTGTATGAAAAATATGGGCGTTTGAGGTGAAACGCCTAGTTTTTTCGAATAGCCTAGGATGTTTCGAAAAAACTAGGCGTTTCAGCCTAGGGTATTCTAAAAAACTAGGCATTTCAGCCTAGAGTATTCTAAAAAACTAGGCGTTTCAGCCTAGGGTATTCTAAAAAACTAGGCGTTTTCTAGGTTTTGAATCTTTTTAAAAAATTTATCGCGACGTACCGATTTCATACGGTTTGACGAGCCTTCTACAAGCGTCTAAGGTTGTGTTTCATGTATTTCGTCGTTGTCCATAAGATCTAACGAAATTGATTTTGTAAAATTTTAAAAATTTGTTTGATTTTGAAACTCACGGTGGTTTGGGTGGTTGTTCGATGAGCGTTGGTGGCCGTTGACCACTAGAGAGAACGGTAAAAAATTTTGTGTATAGTAAAAGTGTGAAATTGAGGTAAAATTAATTATTTTTTATAATCATTATTATAAGGATAAATACGTAATTTTATTTTATTTTGCGGGCGTTAGTTAGATATTTGAGAGCGATATTTAACAACCCTTTTTTTTTTGTTTTTTAATATTTGGTCGTCTTAAAAAATATACGGTTTGTTTTTAAAAAAATAAATAAAAACTGTCAAACTGTTTCTCTGAGTGCCCATTGAAGCGCGACTTCACATATTTGTATCCTCCATTGATGCAGCTTCTGAGGTAAGATGGTTTTCTTTTTGTAATCATCGAATATCAATTTACATTCTATGGTTTATTGTTAATTTTTTTTTAGTATGCTCAATTTAAATTCGATTATTGAACTATTGGTATTTTTCTGATAGATCATAACGATTAATTTTGTTGCTAGAGAACCAAATTATGGGTCTTTTCGAGATTAATCTCAAATTTAGCTTTGATGTTTTTGGATGAAACTATGAAATTGGACTTTTTTCTCTTACCTAAAATTATACTTGTTTGATTTTTGGATAGAAGTGTGTAATTGGATTTACGAGTATGTTTTTACTTAAAATTATATGATTTTTTGATCCTAATTTGATAAAGGAATTAAATTTACATGTGATGTTTGAATGGAAGTGTCTAATTGTACCTTTTTGGAGCCTAATTTGACAATGGAATTAAATTTAGGTTTGGTGTTTGGATGAAACTATGAAAATGGTGACCTAATTTATTTTTCCAAAGAAAACGAGATGGAAAAGAGAGAAGATCGGGTAGCTTTAAGGTTATGTGAGAAGAGGATGTGCGTTATGAGCAAGAATGAAAGTGTGGATCGGATCTCGTGGTTGCCGGAACACGTTCTCCATGTTATACTTGATAAGCTTGATCCATTGAAAGATGTAGGTCGAAGTTCCGTATTGTCCAAGACCTGGAAAAGTGTATGCAGTTCATACCCCATGGCCCCCTTTGTAAATTTGGATCATAACTTATTCGGACTGAAATTGCTCCAAAGCAGGCAACAGCCTGATAATGATGAAATAAGGGTGAATTTCATGGATTTTGTGGATCATCAATTGTCCCAACTCATACAAAATAAATTACGCGTACATAAGTTAGCATTGTATGTGGCAGTCAGTGATCCCATATGTTTCTCCCGCGTTGATCACTTGATTGAGTTGGTCACCAAACTAAGTATGGTTGAGGAGCTGTGCTTGTTTGTACAGACACAACACACCGGGTGGAATGAAATCGATGATAATTTTGTTTTTACAATATTCCCTTCTCTGTTCTGGCTTCAAAAGGATTGCGTTCCCTTAATGTACATGGATGCAAGTTTTCTAGCAACATGTCCATTGCCTTTTCCTCTCTGCAGCACTTGTCCTTATTGTATGCTGTGATTGAGGACGATGATGTAATGAATCTAACGCACTCTTGTCCTGCAATTGAAACTTTAGAGTTTGATCATTGCACGTTTTGGATTAATACCCTGGAGCTTTCAGTGTTTCCTAGGCTAAAGAAAGCTACTTTTCTTGATCGTTATGATTATCTCATTGATACTGTTCTTGATCACACTGGTCTTGAGAGTTTCACATATAAAGCTGGTGCAAGATGTGTGTTCGCTGCAGCTGTTTATGCTAGTATCAAAGAGCTGACCTTGTCCTATGATTGCACTATAAGCGCGCTTAATCTTTTTGTAGACCTTACAGACACTTTCCCATTCCTTGAGGAAGCTGATCTTACTTTAAGATTGCAATACGTGGATGGTGGAGATACTTTTAAAACTTTTAGAGCAGCTAATCATCATCTCAGCAAATTATCTATTTCCATTCCAAATGCTGTTCAAGTGGAGGAGATCAATATTAGTTGTCCAAATTTAGAGTGGTTCAAGTTTCATGGTTGCGGTCTGAAACAGATTTGCATTAACTGTCCCAGCCTAAGGCAGTTCCACTACGTTGGGAATGAAATCCCTGTGTTGCCTTTATTAAACGCATCACCTACTGGTATGGAGGATATATATTTCCAACTTGGTAAAATTTATGATTTCAGCAATCTATGGTTCATCCAGATGAGGGGATTAATTGAACAGATGGCTCGAGTAGGACGTGTGTTTCGTCTGAGTCTAGATTATGATGTAAAGATGGTGAGTAGTGTGTTTGAAATCCTCTGTTTCTTAACATTTTTACAACCAGTGGTTTATTTGTTTCTACTTTTATTTTGATTTTGCAAGGTTGATTTTGTTCCAAAGCAATATGGACCTATTGAGGCTATACAACAGCCCAATGTTCACTTAGAAATAAAATTTGAGGAGCTTATGAATCCAGCTGCACTCGTTGATGGCTTGATTTGGAGCACTCGTCCAACCACTATAACTATATACAGTTTTCATCAGCATGATATTGTCAAGGTAATAGTTTTCGTCCATTTATTTAAAGCGTGTAAAGCAAGTTAGTGGTTATCCACTTAATATTGTCATTCTTATGTTTATTGTTATATCTCGATAAATTATTTATTTGAATATTCACGTTCATTGTCACATAATGCTCTTGCTTGGTTGAAAAACTGAAAATGTGAAATGTTATTTGAATTGATTTTTTTGAATGAATTTGAATTGATTTTTTTGAATGAACCACACAAGTTAATATTATATAAGGTTCATTACATGATAGTATTATGTTCTCTATTAATATTATACGAAGTATTTTTTTTTAAAATGTGAAATTCAATCATTAACAGGTTCCAAAAGAATGTCGTCATATACCTCAATGATCCTGCTATTTCAAAGTAAAATGTAACAATTTTTAAGGACTTTTGTCAATAATAAACCTAAAATTTATGAAAAACTACTGAATAAAAATAATTTTGTAAAAAAACTACCTATTAAAAGATTATATATGGATGGGTTTGCATCGTTGACCTAATTTTTTGACATTGTCACACCATAAATCACCCCTAAAACCACCCGCTTTCATCCTATAATGAACACGACCCGCTTTGATGGTCAATGTTATATCTCGGCAAATGTGTTGGTTAAACTGATTCATTTTAAAAAAATACAGGGGAAGTATAATGGAGATTGATATAGAATATAAATAACAAATCAATCATTTAATTAAAGAAAAATTCGTTTGATTTTTTTTTGTTGGCACATGTACTTTATATTTTGTATACAATATTTATTTATTTTTTTGTACCAAAATATTCTTTTCGTTTTTTTTATGCGTTTTAGTAATTAATAATTACGTGTATCATGCACGTGGTACACTCGAGTTTATGATTACATAATATATTAGCTGTGTAGCTAATTATGTTTCAATTTTTAGGAAATTTGTCAAAAATTAGCCAAGAGATCTCCAGAAAAAACTTGTGAGAGAAGTTGCAACAAATGTTGGAGGCATCACTTACAAGATTTTGAAGTTGAGAGCTCCATCAAAGATGAAGAAATTATGTGTCATTTGGCAACTTTTGTAGAGAGGGATCCATATAGGCCATATAGAACTAAGTCTTCATTTAAATTATGCTGGCGAAAATAAATGTAGTTCGGACCAAGCTAAGCTTGGTTTAGGGGGAAAGATTGTACCCTTGAGGTTGGGGGTTCAATCCTCACTAGATGCACTTTGAGGGTGGAGATCTCTTACCCTTCCCCCTCACTCTCAAAGTGTTTAACCCGTAAATACCGGACCAAAAAAACCATGAAGATTGAGATTCAATTCGGTAAGGGTCCTTCTCCTTACCGTAAAAAAAAAAAAAAAAAAATGTAGTCCGGGGTGTACCGCGGTACGCTGTTTGGTTTGTTGCAATTTGGCACTTTAATCAACCCAAACTGCAATAGTGCAGTCAACCGCACCAACGAGATTGTATCCTAAATTTATATACTCCATAATATATGATAAAGCAAACTTAATTTAATGATTACACAATATTAAATAATTGTATTGTAAATTTGTAATGCTAGTTCTTTATAAACCTTTGATTTTATAAAACAAAATTATATAGTGAATACGGTTTATGCTTTGCAATTTGCTGTTTAAATCACAAACCATTAATATTCCATTTTCCTATGATCCTAATTTTGGTAATAATGATAACTTTGGGTCTACTTTTGTTAGAAGTTTACCTATGAATGAATCAATATCCCATGGGGCGGGAATGGCCCTAGGGAATTTGATTGGGGGAGGAGAGTCGGTCCACTTAAATGAGGCCGGTTTTGGATTTATAATAAATGACAGTAATTACCTTTTGCCAAGTGATTGGTCATAGTACAAGTAAGGTGGGGAATTCGGAAGCACCAATTTGTGAAAAAGGTGATCAAAGTTATACTCATAGTAGGGGAAGGAAGCATGATAATGAAGAAAATGATGATCAGAGAAAGAACAAGAATATAACACCTTGTAATGATGGAAGTTATTGAGCAAATTGAGCAATATGGTGATTTGGAGCACTCGTCCAACTACTATAACTATATACAATTATCATCAGCATGATTTTGTTAAGGTAATATATTTTCCATTAAATGATTGAAATGTATACATATTGCTCTTGATCATATACGGAGTAATGTTCCTTGACTGGTACTACGTATTATGGGAAAGGAGATAGATCAATTTTTATTTCCGAAACCAGGATATTGCTTTGCAACTTATCTTTGCCTCTTTGGGGAATTGATCAAGTTTAACTTTGTCATAGACTCATAGCTAACCATACAAAATGACACCAACTTGAGTCATCCTTTAAATGAGGTGCACAGCTACTGACTTGCAAGTTGCAACTTATGTATGTATATTTATTGCATGACTGCATCAAACTTTGTTTAACACATATGTTAACAAGTGTTTCGGTATAAACAATGTGGACTAGAAAGGGTCCTTATTCTAATAGGCTGAGGACGGGTCTCGGTCCAAAGATTTTGGGTTGAGGGTTTCCTGCACAACAAAGTCCATTAACTAGCCTCAAGGGTTGTCTTTTCCATGCCTAAGTCAGTCCTTTTAATGTCAAGAAAAAGTATTAAGAACTGTGCAACTGTTTAAGAGAGTAATTGCTTCTGTTTTTTTTTAGAGAGAGAGGAGAGAGTAATTGCTTGAAGCTAATAGCGACATCTGATTATGGTAGAAATTGGACTATTTATACCTATGGGGTAGTGAATAGCACGGGCCCTTATGACACGTGTCAAGCCCTAAGCGTGTGAGCTACTTTGATGGTCTTATCTTATGCCTTTTGGACTTGATTAGCTTGCATTAGCCCTGACTTCAGCCCATTGGGCAAGGTGGCCCAATTCCATTTTGGCATCCAAACAACAACTAAGGGTATATTCTCATAGACTGAACTGAGCTGAACTGAACTGAAATGAATATTTTATAAGAGAAGGACATTAGAAGCTAAACTGAGTTGAGCGAACTAAACTGAACTGAAAATAAACGTATGAGAACAGACCTTAATTGTATAATGGGAGGGGGTAAATTGTTGTTTGGTTCAAGACTACAACGACATCCACACATCAATCAATGGCTCGCTAGTTGCCACCAAAATCAACCCGTTTTTGTTCAAATTAAATTTAATAAATATGGAGAAGAAGCCACGCATTATTCCCAAGCAAAAAGTAGTAAAATATTGGAGAAGTGGGTTAGAGTCTTTGATAACATAGAGAATTAGAGATTGTGGTATTGCCATTATAGAGGTAGTGAGGTCGGATCCCTTGATATTAATTGGTTTAACCCATTCTTTATGTTTGCTATTTTGGATTCACCATTTACTCTAATTTGTTCTTGTCATGATAAGTCATGATTTGCATCATTCAAGAACCAAAGATAAGAGATTGAACTTCGAAAACTTCGCCAATTAAATTTTTATTATTTATATAATGTAATAACACTTGCAATTATTAAAGAGATTAATGACTTTGCAATTCAATGAAACTTAATATAAGCAAGATCTCGTTATAAATTTATTTAAAAAATAATAAAATGAAGCAAGCTGTTGTCCATTTCCCCCTACGTGTTCATTTGGATAGAATAATGAATCTTAAATTACTATATAAGGTATAGGAATTATTATTTGAAGGGAAAATTGCTTTATTAGGGAGCATAAATGATAAATTTAACTTATAAAAGGTTCTTTTAAAAGTAATTGTTCCTATTCCTATTCTTCATGAGTTGGTACCGACTGTCAAATCAAATCCGCTTTAATTTAATATAATATACTACCTCTGTTAAGATTATGTGCAACAATTATATATTTTTTCCCTTTATTATATGTCAAATCGTTGCACATAACCTGTAACGGAGGTAGTTTTTTTCTGTTTTTTTAATACTATTATTTTAATATCTACTTCATTTCATACCTACGTGTTTGGAGAACAAAATTAGTTACCAACTCAATACAAATTATGGAGCATATATCTGTACAAAGCTAAAGTTGAGATATGGGGCAAATATTAAGGGACGGAATGGAGGGAGTAACCTTTTGTAATCTGATTCCCACTTCACACACCCAAACATTCCAGTAAAGTGCCCACCCTTTTTACTTTACACCTTTATGCTGCTCCCATTTTTCCTCCCACTAAATTTCTCCATTTAGACCTGTTTTGACCTCAATATTCTTCCTTTCTTCAATATCTTTCTGATTCAATCCACCAACAAAACATCAGAAAAAATATGAATCTTTATGGTTTTAACCCAGAAATATCATACCCTTTTCTGGGTGATGAAGAAAATGCTGAACCATTATTTTCAAGTTACAATCACCAATTTGGAAATAATATTACTGACAATAGTAGCAACAATATTTCTGGTCAATTTCATGAGCATACTTCCTTTGATGAATGTCAAATAAATGTCCCAAATAATTTGGGAAATTTACTACCAAATGACCCAACAGAAATCCCTGCAATCCCAGATACTTGTTTTAATTACATAAATGATCTTTTAAGGGAAGAATATTGCTCCCCAGATGATCAATTTCAAACCCCAAATTCAACCCTTGAAGATTATATGGCTGCTCAATTGTCCTACAACAAGTCCTTAGATGCTGCCCTTCATCTTGGTGAGAATTTTTCATTTTCATTTTCAGCTAATAATCATGATAATAATAATAATCATGATTATATTATTAATCAATGCCCACCTCCTGATATTTGTCAGACATCTCGCCATTGCTTAGATGATTACCTTGATATGTTTTCTAGCAATAATAACATTAATATTCCATTTTCCTATGCCCCTTATTTTGGTAACAATGATAATTTTGGGTCTACTTTTGCTAGAAGTTTACCTGTGAATGAATCAATATCCCATGGGGCCAGATTACCGGCCCAGGGGATTTGATTGGGGGAGGAGGAGAGTCGGTCCACTTTAATGAGGCCGGTTTCGGATTTATAATAAATGACAATAATTACCTTTTGCAAGACCAAGTGATTGGTCATAGTGTAAGCAGGGTGGGGAATTTGGAGGCACCAATTTGTGAAAAAGGTGATCAGAGTTATTCTGATAATACTAGGAGAAGGAAGCATGATAATGAAGAAAATGGTGATCAGAGAAAGAACAAGAATATAACACCTTGTAATGATGAAGTTATTGAGCAAATTGAGCAATATGGTGATGTGATACTCTGCCCTGAAGGAAGAAGTAAGCCAGGTGCACTGTGTAATAGCAGTAGCAGGACAACTTAACTGGTGCTTATGACAAGGGCTCGAAGAAACGAGGCAATAACAAGGTACAGGTTCCTGATTTGAGGGGGCTTTTTACGCGGTGTGCTCAATGTGTAGCGCAGGTCAACTTAACTGGTGCTTATGACATGCTTAAGCAGATTAGGGAACATTCACCACCTTATGGAGATTTTCTCCAAAGGGTGGCTCATTATCTTGCTAATGGCCTTGAGGCGCGGCTAGAGGGAAAAGAGTTGAAATTGACTCATGCTAATGAGGAGGTTTCTCCGTCTGAGGTGCTTAAAGCTAATCGGATTTATGTTGCATCAGTACCGTTTCAGATAATGTCTTATTACACTATGAACAAGACAATTGCAAGACTAGTTGAGGAAGCACCAAGTATTCACATAGTTGATTTTGGGATTTATTATGGACTTCAGTGGCCTTGTATTATTCAGAACCTCTCCAAGAGGCCTAATGGTCCTCCAAGGATACGAATCACCGGGATTGATTTCCCTCAACGTGGTTTCCGGCCTGCAGAAAGGGTTGAGGAGACAGGGAGGTGTTTAGCCAAGTATTGTGAGAAGTACAATGTGCCCTTTGAGTATTATCCGATAGCAAAGAAATGGGAGGATGTACAACTTGAGGAGCTAAAGATTGAGAGAAATGAGCCTCTTGTGGTAAACTGCTTGTACAGGGCACACTTACTCTTTGATGAAAGTGTGGAGGAAAATAGCCCAAGGGATACATTTCTGAAATTGGTTAGGAAAATTAATCCTGATATCTTTATGCACGCGGTTGTCAATAGCACATCGAGTGTTCCATTCTTCCTAAATCGATTCAAGGAGGTCATGTTTCATTACTCAGCCTTGTTTGATATCTTTGAGTCTACAATGAGTAAGGAAGATAACGAGAGGTTGTTACTCGAGAGCAAGCTGTACGGACCTCAAGCATTGAATGTAATAGCATGTGAGGGTATGGAGAGGGTTGAGAGGCCTGAAAGCTATAAACAATGGCAAGTTCGGACTCAAAGGGCAGGGTTTGAGCAAGTAGGATTAGACCGCGAATTATTGAGAAGAGCAAGGGCTATGGTTAAGAGGAGCTTTAGAGAAGAATTTAGTTATGATGTAGATGGAAATTGGGTGGTCCAAGGATGGAAAGGGAGGATCTTGTATGCCATTTCTTGTTGGAAACCTACTTAAAAGAGTTATTGTTTTTGTATGTTTTTAGCTGAGTTTATTGTCATATTACTGACCATTTTGTACAACTGTATTGTGTAGATGGTAGATCTTAAGCTTTTCATAGATGATATGATATTGTTATTTGTTAGTATGTTGTATATGTACTAATGCTTCCTCACTATTTTGTAATAAATGAACAATTGAAGACTATCACAAATTTTTAGCCGGTCTACTTTCTCCAATTCAGCCCAAGTTTGGTTTGTTAGTGGTCCTAGCCCGATTAGTTGGGCCATTTTTGTAGGTATGACTAGACTTATTATATGAAATCATCTTAACTTACGTAGTACTTGTATTGTTTTTGAAATAAAGATAAATTAAGTTAAAAATAGATGAGACAAACAAACTCTTAATTGATTTCCTATTTTATTTTACTATGATATTTGGAAATTATAAGTAGTTGTTAATAATTTAATCTATACATTAAAGAAAATAATTATTAATTTTTATATGTAACAACTACTTTATCGAACACTCACACTTTAAAATTATTTATTTTCACGGTTAATAGCTAACAATTACTAGCACCGCTACAACTAACTCTCCAATTATATTTTGCCAAACATACTAATTGTGTTATATTTTGGGAGTTGCATTTTTTTTTTTGGTGGAAACGAGGGGCAAGCCCCAAAAACAAAGAGAAGGCTAAAACTAGAAAAAAAAAAAAGCAAAATAAACGAAAGAGTAAAATAAAAAATCAAAACAACAAACAACTAAAACTATTCTCTACTAGCTACCCTCCTCGGCATAGCTACTCCCCTTAGATCCTCCAATAAAACGGCACGACGCGAAGATCCTCCGAGACCGCCTCAAAGATGATCAAAGATTGTTCCAAAGTCACTCCATAGTTAGCCAACCAATCGGCTACTCTATTAGCTTCCCGGTAACAATGACCGATAGTGATTTCCCAACCAATTCTATCGATTAGAGACTTGCACTTTCGGAGAATATGAATACACGGAGAGTTAGAAGGAACATGATCTTCTAACATACGAACCACCACCTCTGAGTCCACTCTAACTTAAAAGAGTTGCATTATTAACAGGAAAAGAAAAATAGTTGCAACTTTATATATATTATTACATATATATACAACAAATTTTTTGTTAGTCTAGGGTTGCACATTTGAATGACTTGTTTTTCAAAATTGCCAATCTTGAACTTCAATCAAGTTTTATCACTTTCGCGACTATACACAATGGAGTTAGTTTCATAAAAACGATACAAAGACATCTAAACTTATACGGGAGTCGTTGTTCAATAAAAGCAATGTCATTAGTTAGTTTAAGGGTGTTTAGTACGAGGTATTTATATTGAAAATTTACATCTCATAAAGGATGATTGTAAGTGTTGAATGACAATCAAGTCACCTCTCCCTATTCATTCAAAAAAAGAAAAAAAAAACATGGATATAGAAATAACTAGTTCTGATATTCACAGGGGAAAAAAATTATATTTTTTTTTAATATTTTATTTATTTAAATTTGTTGTTATTGACCTTATTGTTCTATTATTTAGGTTGTACATATATATTTTTTTTTTGAAATAAGGTTGTACATTTTTTTTTTTTTTTAAAATTATCTTTTTATTTGCTAAGAAAATAATACGGAGTAAAAAAAAATTAAAAGTATTTTAGCAGGAATTGTTTTTTTTTTTTTTTAAAACAGCGGGAATTGTTTTTAATGTAAACGTGACACGTGTAATTCTACAATATTCCTGATGATTACTTTAGGGGTCGTTTGGTTGGGGGTAATCAGGAAAGGGAATGAGAATCAACTGGCCCGATTCCCTTTGTTGATGTTTGTTTAGCACTTTTATTCATTCTCTTTACCCTCCCCATTACCCCAAATCCTTCCAACTTCATTCCCCACCCCCCCTAGGTGTTTCCATTCCCATTCTCTACCCTCCTTCACACCACCACATCACCACCGGAAAACCATCCCAGACCACCGCCGCCCCTACCCAGACCACCGCCGCCCCTCCTCGACCACCGCCCTCCCCTCCCCCGAGCCTCGCCGACCTCCCCTCCCCCGAAAAACCTCCCCTAGCACCGCAAAACCCTAGCCCCGATCTCCCTTGACCCCGAAAACCGCCGCTCAGCCCTCCCACCACCCTCGAAACCCTAGCGGCTAGGGGAGGTTTTCGGGGTCAAGGGAGATCGGGGCTAGGGTTTTGCGGGGGTAGGGGAGGTTTTTTCGGGGGAGGGGAGGTCGTGGCTCACGCGACCAGCGGCGATGAGGGGAGGGGAAGGGCGGCGAGGGGAGGGGGAGAGCCGGCGAGGGGCAGGGAAGGGCCGACGAGGAGTTTGGTGGCTGAGAAAGATGAAATGTGTGGTGGCCTGGTGTGGTGGTGTAGTGGTGGGATTGATTCCCTTTGTTTTAAAAACAAATAACAAAGCAAAAAAAAAGAGTATTTTCATTCCATTCTTCTCCTTTTCCTTTGTTCATTCCATTGCGATTCCCTCGTGCGAACCAAACAGCCCCTTAGTATATAGTATTGATTGATTTATATCAATACGGAGTATGTTATCTTTGTATACTCCTTGTAAAAAAAAAAATCTTTGTATACTCTCTCCGTTTTTTAAAGTAGGTATGTTTTTCCTAAGATCAAGTAGATATAATGTCCTTAGGTTTTTTTTATTTTTTTATTTTTTATTTTTTTTAATAATGCCTTTAAATTGTGCACCATGACTCCTTGAGTTGAAAACTATGTGGGACGGCGGCTAAAGTTGTCATTTGTTTAGGTCAGAACTTCAATTAGTTTGTTAATCTAATTATTTGTAAACTAATTATAGAATTACTGAATTATAGAGACTGCAAGATTCCAAGTATCTAACAACTGCAATTTATAGCACTCAATTTTTAATATTGCGATTGCGAGTTTATTCATTGAAGATGGTTTGATACTCCTTATTAATTTCTTTTTTTTTTTCTTTAAAAAAAATCCTTATTAATTAAATCATAAATTCATAATGCATTGGCTTAATATATATATGTTACGTTAGCTAAATTTGACCACTATCAAGATGTATGTTTGACCGCCAAATACAATCAAATAAAATATACTCTTATTTTTTGTTATCATCTCACTATATTCAACAAAAGTTGAGCATACTTATTTTTGATAAGTTTCAATACATTTATTTGTGCATGTACAACCATGCTCCCTTCAGCCCTTCTCAACAAGTTCAATAATTGGAGCGTGCGACATATCAACCGAGAGACAAATTGAACTATGGATTTCATTATATTGTTAGTGTTAGTCATTATTTATACAGTGGTACGTAGTATGAAATTATGAATTACAACAGAACATACATGTATATAGGAATTGAGAGAGTAAAACTAATAGTATCGCACCTTAAAGGTGTAACTTGCTTGTATTATCCACTTTATGCTAACCCAATAAGGCCAAATACATGCACCATAATAGGAGTAGTTAATTAAACCACTTGAATGAGACCTAGAGCTTAATAAGAAAGTAGTACTTGTATTAGATTATTCTAAGTGTAGATGGTTAATGGTTATGTTTCAAGAAAATTAAAATTAAAAAAAGTGTACGAGGGTAGCTACCAGATTAGCATTAATTAAAACAAAGAACTAACATTCATGTCTAGAGATACATAGTCTGGAAGCAAAGGTGTTGGATTTAGATGTCATACATTATAATTTTTTTTTGTTTTGTACTGCTTTTCTTTTGGACATAAGCTCTCTGGTCTTTAGGATCACCATTATTAATTCTTTTTCGTACAATTTATTCATAAAAAATTTACAAAATACACTCACATACATTGAGCAGGTACCTTTATAATCCAACATAAGGCTTATAGATTTTCTTCTAATTATTATGAGATTTTTTTTTTTTTGTTTTTTTTTTTTGAGGAATACTATGAGAAATTATTATGAGAGATATTTATAACCAAATTAGGCCTTTTTTTTTTCTTGGTTAGGTAATTAGGCTCTCTTTCTTCACCTCATTCTCATGAAAATCATATAAAAAAGCTTAGATCAAACCAAACTAGATTGATTCTTCTTAATTTTATTTTCTTACCGTTGTAACCCCTCGATTTTTTTTAAATGCAACACTTTGATTTGAGGTAGACAAAAGCCAAATTTGTAAAAATATTATGACGTATTTCGTGCGTGAGGTTTGTTGAATAATATTAATTTAAAATAGACAAATTTTTGTATGGGTTGGCCACATTGTACAACAGGGATTACCTGAGTTACTCGGTCAGGTGCTACTTGAGGGGCTCAGTCAGGGATTATTATTCAAGAGGTTACTCAGTCAGGGGTTACTTAAGGAGTTATTCGGTCAAAGGTTATTCGAGTTACTCGTTCATGGATTACTTGAGGGGTTTGGTCAGGGGTTACTCGGTCAGAGGTTACTTGAGTTGTTACCCAGCCAGGAGTAACTAAAGTAACCCCTGACCAAGTAACTCGAATAACCTTGGCCACACGGTGTGACCAACCACACAGAATAATCCCCCTTTAAAAAAAAAAGAGATACTGCCTCTATTTATTATTGTATGTGGAATCTTGAGATATTCAAATACAAGTATTTTTTTTATTAAATTAAGACTAATTTTGTTGAACTAGACTTATTTTTATTGAAGTGAAAGTATTTTTACTAAATACATTACTTTAAAGTAAAGAGAACAGGTCAACAGGGTCTTATAAATTTTTTTCATGTTTGTCAATGTATAAATTCAATTGTATTTTTTTTATAATAAATTCGTAAAAATTATGTAAGTTAGATATTAATAAATTAAGTAGAAACTTTGATGAATTTAACAAAATGGATCTCATATAACTATGTTTTTTCTACATATGTGTTTCAATGTTTCATGAAAGATAATTTAAGTTGAGCATGGAAATAGTGTAACCATTGAATTGTTGCAAATGAAAAATGTACACGTTGTGACAAATCAAATAAAATTCCATTTGACAAAGTTTTTTCTTATACTAGTACATTGACATAAATTTAATTAAGGTTAAGGTTCATACAAAATCAGACGGTGGAAAATTCAATAAAAAAAAAAACACCTCATTTTCTGGTGAAGTGAACAAAGCCTATATATTGAAAGACATAACAATTATGAAAATCATTTTATTATATATGCCTTGCTTACTTGAATTGGCTGTAAGGAGATAATACATCATATTCATAATAGATTGATAGATTTATAATTTTGTATAAAATAACTATCATATACGAAGTATTATAGAGTGCCATTCGACAT